AACATAACAGGTGGACGAAGAAATAAAGTAGATTATAACGTTGTCAAATGAATTTGCGGTGTCAGTTATTTGTGTGGTCGGATGGTAATACGAAACTCGGTAAGTGAACCTCGGAGCATACTGGCGGGTTCCATCCGGCAATAACTTAACGAAATAAAAAAATTAGGGGTTATTTAATAGAGTTAACTTTTGCCGAAGCTTTTTAATCTTTATAGTCTTTTTGGCTAACTATGAATTTTTTCTATTACTTACTATAGAACGTTTAATAAATTAAATAAATTTCTTTTTATTTGCAATTATTTGTTTGTTTATTCAACGATTAATTGTAACTTACTAAAAAAGGGCTCTTTTTTTATCACACTTTTCCTCCTGAAAGGGTAAGGGTGTAGAGCGATCGCATATCGTGGTTAATATACATCCACTTTGAAGTGTGACAGAATTATGCAAAGTCATTTCTAAAAAGAAAAAGAAGAGTTATGACACACTTCATCAGCATTTCCAGCTGGGGACTTCTAGCCGATTTCGTATTGGCACTGAAAGAAGTTAACAGTTTTGGCGGTATAAGCCGAGCAGCACAGATTGATAATCGCGTACACTAAGTATATGCAGCTTTCACCTTTTTAATAACACAATATATTACACACAATACATTACATACAAAACGATAAGGACATAAAACATTATGTTAATAAATATCTAAAGCATATTGAAGCGTGTACAGAAGGTCTTTCATATTATATTTCTATCATATATTATTCATATGTTCAACCCGCATCTACCCGGTGCGGCTGCCTTATAAACACTGGTGGGTTGTTGATGCAACTGGTGTTACATTTCTTCTTTCAGACCATCTTTGCTTTCCAAAACCATTTTGTATTTGTTCCTGCTGCTTGCGTAGCCATTGTCGTAATGCAGAAAAAAGGTTTTTTTGACATAAAAGTCTTAAATGACATTTCATTTATTCGTAAATACCCATTTAAGGATGTTCAAAAGGACTTTATATGTATTCTTCACAAAATTACAAATAGCGATTGAGTTTGTCTTATCAAATATATAGCGAAATTTTTGATTGCAAAGTACGTAAGTATTTCAGACTCCATCCATCACCAAGAGGTAAAACCTCCAGGAAAATGAAGAATTCATTACCTTCGTTTCTATTAATTCCTTGGCGGTACGAAGGAGAGGGATTTCGGAGACAGGTCGCTCACCAGAAATAAGTTTGACGACATGTGTAATGTGTAAGTTGACGGCGTCTGTCCATTATTCTGTTTAGCTTTTTGTCATAGAATGTGCACATTCTTTTATCTATTCTTTTATCTATTTACTTCAGTTTGCCCAAATATACGTGCCAGCGCATTTTTTTTAGGGCATCTTGACTGATTGTTAGTCATAATTTTAATAATGTTACATCCAAACTGACAGTTACTGAAGGTTTTTTCATAATGGCTTCGAATCAGAATCTAATATCATTTACGATCTATCACGAAATCGAAGAAGTTTCAACTGACTGACTTTAAATTCCTCCTTTAGCAAAAAAACTGTTTTTCTTGCGAGGGTTAAAATATAAAGTGAAATCGGCACATGCGACAAAAAAAGTTTACGGAGAGAATTGACTGCGTCTAGAAATAAAAACTCAGCAGACTCTATTACCACGTCACCAGTCGTGCAACTTAGCTGTGTATAGATTGAAGAGGATGAGGCTCAACCAATTTCTTTTAAGAGCACCACCTTACCTTCAACTGTCTGCACGCTTTACCAGGCTCACTTAGATAAAAAGTGTACAATAGGTGTATTTGAAAACGAATTGAGAAATTTTAAGAGAATTCTACGAAGTTTAATTGAATTAATGGAGTCATAGACTTTATTGAAAGTCATGACGACCCTTTCACCTGTTTTTTTTTTTTTTTCATACATTATAATTGTTGCGTTTAGTTTTGTGATTTTCGATTGTTGAAGATGAAAACATTCAAGGTAAAAATAAAGTTAAATATTTTTCGTAAGAATCTATGTCATGAGATTAAATTAATTACTTGCTTTTTTTGGATATTTCAGTTAAACCTTTCAACGAACGTACTTAATCGCTTTGGTTTAAACTCAGATAAATTAAATATTTGTTTTGTTTCGTTTTATGCTTAGTTATTCGTTTAGTTTCTTCTTTCTCTTTACATTTATTTGCTAGGACTTTGTTGTGTGCAAACACAGCTGGTCGCAAAAATACAACGTTGTTTATGTCTCGATCGACGCACTTTATCACTTCAGCAGCAATCGAGCGCTATAACACCACAACATGATGCTATCGAGAGTGACTGACGAAGTGCACATAGTCGTAGCAGAACGATAAACTGAACCCCTTCTTACCTAAATCCTTCTAAAATTTATAATTTAGAGGGTAGAATGAATGGTTGGAAAATGAAACCTAAAATTGTTGGTAGCTGCTCCGTGAACTACTTTAGATATCTAAAGCTAATCTAACGTTTTCTATTAAACATCTAAAATAAACCACAATGCTTAACTGAAGGGGAAAAAAGACGTCAAATAAACGTTGCGGATATAAGCCGTGCAGCAAATGAAAATTTCTAGACGGACAAAATTTCATTATATTTTAGAATACATTAGCATAGAGTAAGACGATTAAAAGAGTCGCAGTTTTAATTAGTTTGCCTGCCCATCAAATTACTTCAACTCATTTCTGTCAACTCTAGTACATACATTTCGCAGAACAATGGTCATTCAATAAAGAGCACGATATATGCTACGTGAAAGCAACACACCGTATCCATATTGTATTGTTTCAATTGGGAATTGACATAACATTTATATTTATATTAGCTATAAATTAAATACGTAATAAAAAAAATGTATCACAAAATATTTATTTACAAAGGTATTTTACGTAAAAAGATTGCTTAGCGTATTATTAACTTGGGCTTCTGTAGTCTTTTTTTTCTTTGTTTGTTCGCTTGTCAGAAAAATTACGGTTTGGCTGGTTCATCAATGTAAGAAAATGACTACGTTTAAGAAATATTCATTAACAAAATTGCGAACAATAAATTTATTTATTTTTCAGATATTTTGGCAAATTTGTTAGGCTTTTAATACTTTCTCTGCAAACCGCACTTTTCTATGAACAATAGAATTTGAAGAAGTAAGTCGATTGATCGGCTTCCGCATCGTGACTAAAATATTATTTAATATTTGGGATTCTCTTATGATTTTCAATAATATATACATTGCTGCTTTATTTACTGCCTTGAAAAGAAAGCAAACGACCAACACAAATACACAATTAAAAATTAACGGGTCAGAAAGTATATGTCGTGATATATATCACGATAGTAATCTGACATGCAAATTATGTGAGACAAATTTGAACATGAACCAATATCTTGGACCCCTTGGATGAAAATTGGCCCAAACTAACAATTTAATAAAAATATGAATATTCAAAGAAAATAGGGAATGCATATACATGCTAACGCTTAAACGATTATGATCAGAAGCAAATCCTTATATGGAGAAAAAGTCTAATTTGTAGTTTCCTCTGATGGAGACAAAATTAGATTTGGATCATGTCGTTGATGTTTTGGACATCCTCCAATATGCAGACTTTCATGAAAAGTATGACTTGACAGAAAAATGTTTAATTTTTTGCATTAGTACAAAAAGCGCGACTGGCTGCATAAAGCGATGTGGTGTTGGGTGCATGAAGGTCATCATTGGCCGACTATAATGTTCTTACTTGTTTCTCATTACCTGAATTCAAGAGTACAATTTAACTTTACTGAGACCCATACATGTATTAAGGAGGTAACTAAAAAAATTATGAATTTATCTTACTTCTTACTTTCAATTCGTATTGTATCGTCTTAGTATATTTCAATTCTTTACCGACCCAAGACGGTTGTATTAGTAGATCGACCCTAGGACTTTGACGACGATTAAAGAATTATAATATTTCTTATTAAATGAACACGTTGGAAGTTTACGATTCAAATTCTATAAATAATGTGTGCTGAGCAAAAACACATTGTTGAAATGTAAGGTGTACGTAAGACTCGAGTAGGAAAAATTCTCGGACAAAACTAAAAGAAGAGAAGATGTAGGCATGTTGCTAAAAAGTAGGTCTCCGATTTTCTCCTTAATGTTACAGACAAGGAGATGTAAAAAATTTCATCTGCAACATCTTCAACTCTTTCCGCTAATGCTCAACCAGTATCTATATTGAAGACAAAAACTATGCACTAATATGATGATAGGTTTTGAAAACGATTTCTCAGTGAACGTCGTGGTCCGTTTTTTCACTCTTGTAGCATTTACTGGATTATCTTTTTTGCGTGTTAAACCTTTAATCATATGAAACTTGGCTTTCTGTTGTATATACTGATGAAAAATGTCAAGCAGCTTGCAGCAGGTACGTCAAATGTGTTACTTTTGCGTTTAAAAAAACGAAGAATAAATTATCTGAACGACATCTAAAAAAGAAATTACATTTGTATATTGTTGTTTATATTATTTAGCCTAAAAAAGTTTGAATTAAAAAGAATGTTTCTCTCTTAAGATTCTAAATAAATTAACGTATACTAGAACTACATTTTACAAATTGTATTTTAAAAAGAAGAATAATATATATATATACCAAACTTGAATTATTGCATTTCATATTCTTAATTTATCTTGACAATTGCAGATAAACTTGGGAGGCTCTTTTCAGTCAAACTTTGCGCTTTCTATTTAGAAGAAAACCTGCTATAATCAGTTGTCTGCTGTCCCTCTTTTCTTTTGGTTTTCTTCTATTTTTTAATTACATAATTAAGTCATCGTTGTTTTCAATTTTTGCTTAAATATTTCTTCTCAATCCTAACTTTTTTAAGCAATCTAATATATTATTGTAAACAAGTATAAGTGTATGTACAAGCATTTGGATGTTATTCAAATAATGAATTGAAATACATATTGTTTTCAAATTTTTTAATTTAATAAAGCATCCATCGTGTAAGGAAAGGGTGGAGGAGTTTGCTTAAGTGGAGATTGTTGATGTGTATTGAGATATGACTGTGGCAGATGAGGACACTGATATTGTTGATGTTGAAATTTATTTTGACTCTGCACGTGCCGTTTTTCAGCAATCATTGGTGATAATGATGTTGATGCGAATTGAGACAATGGAGTAGCTGATGACGGTCAGTCTAATATAACAACTTGCGATTCCATTGGCCTGCTCGTTACTAATGGTTTAGGAATAGCAATATTGCGCCAAGGCTTTCGAGCCGCGCGTTTTAAAACTATAGGCAACAGGATTTTTCGCGCTTTCCTGCAAAACAAATGGTTTTTCTAAAATCAATTTATCTGTAGGTATTAATTTAAAATGTTTAAAAGCTTTTATATCCAGGGCGGCAAAAGTATTGTTTGGCGAATTTTTTAATGTATTATTTGTAAAAAGCCATTTAAATGATGTTGTTCTTTTTGATCATATATATGTAAATACGCCAATGTGCGCAGCTACTTGAATGACTGAGAGACTCGCGAGACTCGGCAGTTATTACTAATCTTATGACTGTAACTTACTTGCTTGCTTCTGTCGCCCGAAAATACACATCGTCAGGAGCATCCATCCAGCTAATAACTTGTTTGCGACCATTACCTGTTCGCGCCATTTGGGCAATTTTCGGTTTACCGTTCAGCTGTTGAACAACGAAATAAAATATGTTTTCAATTGAAAATATCGAGTTAACGTACATGATGACGGGGCAACGGTTGACCAGAGGCAGCCATTATAGCGGCAAACTGCTCAGGGCTCGGACAATGTGAAGGCATCGGATCTTTATTCGGGCGCTTGGTTGGTGGTCCAGTAGGTATTATTGTAACTTTAAATACAAAAAGATATATTATTACAAAATATACCTCAGAATTGTATGACAGATACCTTCAGTACCATTAAGTTGTGCTTCTTCGTGAACTCTCTTCCTTAATGAAGATGGCGTTGTTGATGGTATAATTGTTAAATCTTTCTCGAGTTCTATTATTTTATTTGGTACACGATCGTAAACCAGGCTACCATCAGAAGCTTTTGGTGGTTTAGGAAATGAAACCACATCAGGTTTTGGCAATTTATCTTTCGGTGTGAGTATCAACCATTCATGAGGTCCTATACCTGGTGAGCCGAGTCTATTTGCAATTTTCGTTACACTGCCTCGTTCTTTTTTCTTAAGTAGCAGTAACTTTTTAATCTCAGCTGCAGACCTAACAGTAACGCGAGCATTAACTGAAATGAAGCGAGTACAGTGAATACACAGATCGAATATGAAAAATTTTGATAAAGAAACTATCATACATTCCTGCTTTATCAATTGCGTATTGATTGCATATGATGTTTGTCTAGCAGCTTTCTTAGGTTTTATAAGATTTCTACAAATTATACGTGCTAGTCTCGTCATAGGATTCGTTTGTAGATAAAATGCTGTACGGGTTTTCATTATTGGCCTGGGTGAACCCGAACTAATAGCTATACCATGCGTTTGCGTGTAATGTCTTGCCAAATGAGTTTTTAGTTTAAATTCTTTGCCGCAATTGACAATTGAGCATCTGCAAACGTGAAATAGACTTTTAGTAAAGTAGGCTTCTAGAAAAATAGTTACGTACTTGTGTAATTGTCTGCTAGATAAATCACTAACTTTTTCATCGTCGTCACCAGGTTTTCTTTTAGACTCATCCATTTGACTCATCTCTTGTTTGTTGCCGTTTTTAAGCCCAGCGTATTTTTTCCAATAGTCCCAACAAATTTGGCACAAACGGCCTAATAAATGACCGTTAGACCAGGGAAACCACTGAGTAAAATAATCATAAGTGGGACTAGTGACTTGAAGAAAAAAAATGATTTACCTGCGCAGATTTAATTGATGAACAAGATTCGCAAGGTTTGCCCATGTTGACGACATCCACATTGTTCGTTGTACCATTATAAATACTTGCACACTTTGAACTCGTGCCACTTTTTGTGATGTTGTATTGGGGTACATATACTTGTTTAAGTTTAAGTTCGGCTTCCACAGCCTTAACGCGCTTTTGCTGCACATAACGATCCGTCGTCTTCCACATATAATAATATTCAATTATTTGCTTCAGAGTCTTCCAAGGTAGCTACAACAAGTTGTTTTAACCAATCATAGTGAGAAAGCGAGCTTCTAGTTCTTGCACATTGTTTCTACTTACAAAATCTTGTCGTATGTCATTAAAGTCCTTGCCATATTTATCTAATGCTTCTTCAAAAAGATTGGCTTCAGAAGCACTCCAGTCCTCGATTTCATCACGACAGAGCACTGGGCCAGTAGAGGGAACTAAGGAACACATGGCTCCCTCAATGGAATAATTGTGTTTATGCAAAGTATCCATCGCATGAAACTGCAGCATTGTAAAAACAATAAAAAAAAGAACTTTTTTTTTAAAGATATTGGATAAATTTGTGTTGAAACTTACCAACGTGATATCGCGACTTGCAGCCGCCGCTGACATGTGCAATGATGGCTGTTTCACAGAACTGCTACAGTCGAGTGCTCTCGCGAACGTACCGATGGAACGGGATACAACCAGAAATTGATCGATTTTACGATCTGTTAAACCATGATTTGAAGTCCATACCAATGTTTCCAAATCTTCCAGCTTTCGCTCATCGATGACGAAGTCTTTAAGTTTAGGTGGTATTTCACTTTGATAGCGACTTCCTACACGTATTTCACCTTTATCAGCCAATAAGGTTTTTTGTGTTGGATCAAATACCAAACAATAGAAAAACGTATCCTAAAAAATTAAGCAGTGTTTTAGGGCTTCAAATTATACTTAAGTATATGTATATAAATTCCTTATATTTATTTCTTCATTGTACTGGGTTCTTATTATTCAATAAATTTTGGGAAGAACACTCCTACAATAAAAAGATTGTATTTGTTTGAAATTTACGACTCACGTCTTTATTGAGGTAACTTTGCAGTGATTCGGTTTCGTTTAATAATGTCACTGAACATTTGCCTCGTATTTGAGTGGCGGGTATGGATTCAACTTGACGTGATAAGAACAGTTCGCGATGCTTAATCTGATAACGTTGTTTAGCCGTTAAATGTTCTCCCTTATCTGCAGACAATCCCGTGTTGTTACCACCTGTTAATTTTTCGGTTATGGTAATATTTACAGGACTTGCGCGTTCATCATCTAATGCAGCTAAAAATGCAAACAATTGTCAAATTATTACGTATTTTTTGATTCAAAAGTCCAAACTAATTATGGAATTTAAATAAATTTGCATTTACAAAACTAAAGAAGAGAATTAAGCTTTATTCGGCTTGTGCTGGATTAAAATACTCGCCACCTGAAGGTCTTATTATTATCATTTTTGAAGTATCTGGAGCACTATTTTAAAATCAAGTAGCGGGTATAAGCAAACAAGAACACGAATAAAACCAAATTAATAATTGGTTCGCCGTGTGCGGTAGATGCATTTGGATAATTAACACAAAAAGTGAAAATCAAGAATTATTCGGCTTAAGCCAAATTTTTAATGTGCACCACTACATCTTTTTTTTATACTCCTCACAATATAATTTGTTATAATGTCATAACTATTTTAATATTTTTATTAACTTATAAAATGAACACATATTATTATGTATTTGAAGTCCTCTAACAAAAGGTGTCATACCGAAACAGGCTGCCTAAATTGTGTCGTCCTGCAGAATATATACCGGAATAAGTCAATCAGTGTGATTCGGCAACTCTATTGAGCCAATTACGCCTTCACCACAAAGGACTTGTCAAACGATCGGCCATTGTAGTTTTAGCGCTTGTTTGATCTTTTCGTTTGGGACATTTGATCCATACATCTAAGTATTTTGATTATTCAGGTATTTCGACAGAGTAATTCACTCAGTTGAGTTTTATTTAAAAAATCAAGATCTTGTGCACGTATTTCGAGCACTTAATCAGCGCTTTTATCCCAAAAACTTCCTATTGTTTACATGTTAATTGCCATCACAATGGCAGTTGCATGCTGACAGTAAAAAAATAATTTTTTGAAGCGATACTTTCTCTTGAAAGGCCATGCAGGAACGGAAAGGAAAACCATAAATGCTTTACATTACAAAGTAATGAAAAAGCCCGGCCGGGTTAAATATCAAATGTGCGTTCTTGGACTTAATATACACAATTCCGGATGGACATTTCCGATAGCCTCAAACTAATTAAGCGCCCCATGGGTTGAGAAATTTCGTCTTCTAATACTTACACTTGCGAGTTTACCATTTCAAGTTTTCTAATCTGGTTTTTAAAATAATTTTTCCGAAGCATTTGACGTTTTATATTTCGTAGAGTTAGTCTGAACAAAAAATGCTTTTATATAGAGTGTAGTGGCGAATATAATATCTCGTTTGTTTCAAAAGTAAAGTTTGCATAATTATAGAAAGCAATAAATTTTTAATTATTCGTTTGTTCTAAATATATATAATATTTGTTTGTTGATACCTATGGAAGGATCTAGTACTGCTTGAGCGGCTTGCTCTTCTCCTACTGGTGTTCTAAGCCATGTTCTTTTCAGTTTCATTGCCAGAGGTGAGTCTTCTGCGGCTGCCACTAAACAATGTTGGAAAATGTCATAAATGCATTTATTAGCATCAGAAATATAAATACAAAAAACTGGAGAGAATGTAGTATTCAACTTAAGCGAAATATATAGTAATTTTATATATGTGTGAAAATTCACTTTGATGATTTCAAACTAAAGGCACGGCCTTAGTTCACTTTTTTTTTGAAATTTGGCACATGACATCAGTGTTCTATTAGGTGAATTACACAACATTAAAACTACTGAGACTCATTGATAGTATTAAAATTTCCAGTTTTAAAAAATATTATATAAAACATGTAATCTGTCGAAAATGTATGACGACTACTAAAATTATTTTTTCATCCTGAGTTGGCTTGACGAGCACTGTTACTTATTGGCAGGGTCTTCCATAGACTGCCTGTTTGACATACTACAGTCTTCACATTCTGGGACTCAAAACGGATTTTGATGGATTTTGGCAGAAGGAGTAGCTTTGAAAAACGATTATCTCATCAAAGATACAATGTGTTTTATCATACCAAAAGATATGTAGTAGGATGTACTCCTTTAATTTCAGTTAGTATATCTCATCAAATTGAAGGAAATAATTTAATTGAGGAAAGCGGTTAGAAATCTAAATTAAATCGATTATTTTCCTTAAAAACACAGGTAGTTTGTAAGAGCGTGCGCGTCAGACGTGCGTGTTAAATTTTAGATCGAAATAAAATTTTTATAAAATGTCAGAACGACGTGAGGACAGATATTCAGTGTTCATTGCAATTTGGTATATCTCTTGCAAGGAATTTAAGAGAACATACTTGTACTGGAAGCATTCTATTGTCGTTAATGATGACAAGTTTGCTAGATCCTTTTCCTATATCTAAAGCTTCATCTTTTGTAGGGTGGGAGAAAAGATTTAGTTCTTGGCATTTTAATTAAGTACATAGATTGTTGGTAACTTCTTCATTCCCCCTTGTAATGAGATATTATCATAAAATCATCAGCGTGTTGAAAAATGCATGTCTTGCTGTCCTCTAACTTGTGAAGTGATAGAGTGTGCAAGTTGAAAATTGAATGGGACTCATAAAAGAGCTTAGAGGAAAAATCACAGTTATCTATTGTAAGGTTTTGCTTCCTTACTAATAACCGGTCCGTCCGCCTAAGTGTCTACCCGTAGACCCTAGTAACATTCAGTCCAGTTCCTCCGTCCGCGCGAAAACCCAAATACCTCTGGGTAGGGCATTGGAGCATCCGCCTCTGGCCCAGGCGTAGGGTGAGAGACCGTTAACCGCGTAAACGGCAAACTTATAGATCATAAACACTTCACAAAGGTTGTATAAATACCCACACACGAGTATAAAACATGTGTAAAAGGGGCAACATGTATGAAAGCGGTAAAACATCAGTAATATATATAAACACACATACGGGCATAAAATATGTACAGAAGAGTCAAATGTATATAATCTGTATAAAATCATGACAATACATGAACATACACACGAGGCTAAAATATGTGCAGAATCTGTACAAAATCTGCAGAAAGATCTGTATAAAATCAGTACAATACACGAACACATACATGAGCATAAAATACGTACATTATCTGCATAAAATCTGTATAAAATCACGTTAATTTATGAACACTCACACGAGTATAAAATATGTATGGAATCTGTATAGCATCTGCAGAAAAACATTACAATATATAAGCACACACACTATGGATAAAAGCGTAAAAATATAGAAACACATATAACACTACACATTACTCTATAAACGCCGTTAGGACATAGGAACTCTTTAAAATGTATAAGCACATGCGAACATAGAAAAGCGCATAAACTTTAGAAACAATGTACAAAAATGTATAGCACCGCTAGGGCATACAAAACATGCAGGAATAAACACTTAGGTAGAAAAATAAAGGGATAATCCTATAAGCACACGATCATGCAAAACGCATAGCATCACATATAGCAATGTATGTTAACATACAGTAACCTGTATGCAGAAGCACATAGCATCATGCATTACTGGGTAAACACCGTTAGGTCATATTAAAATCTACAAGCAATGCACAAAATGTGTAGCACCGTTAGGTCACACAAAACATAATCACTTAGGTATAAAAATGTATAGCGCATATGAACATACGACAATGCATAAACGGCATAAACACACACGAGCTTAGGAATAGGTAGAAAATGCATAAAAATGTACAAAGGCGTAGGATCACACGTGCCAAACATGTAAACACACATATATAAACACGGATAAACACACAGAAAAAACCCTTACTGCACATAAACGTAAGCTAAGTACACATAGGTTAAGGAACATGGCACTCACACACCTAACGGTGAATAAATCACGCGATTTGGTACCTAGGTACATGTTGAGCAGGTCTTTGATCAAGCATAGCAATAAGTTAGATGCTAGTTGGCACTATGTTATGTATAAGTATGTCATGCAAGTCGCGGCCAAGATTGCGTCAAACACGGCGAAGCCAACCTGAACTAAGTATATATATAAGTATAGTACCTCAATGCATATGTAGACGCATAGAACATATTGGCAACGGGACAAGCGAGCGAAACTTCAGCTATAAAAGAGCGCCTCATCACGCAGAATCTTTGAATTCACGTCATAGCCGCCTAGGGTAAGTGTGTACGGACAATTTGACAAGCCGCCTTTTTTTGTTACGACTCCACGGATAGGGGATGTACTGGCTAGATGTTAGACGTCATTCCTGAAGTACGTTTTAGGACTACTGACTCCACGGATAGGGGATGTACTGGCTAGATGTTACTCGTCATCCCTGAAGGACTGAGGAACACTTTTTTTTTGCATATACATACGAATAACCTACCGGAGGCAAATCGTCGGCCCAGAGAGCCAGGGGAACTATGACACGGGCAACGAATTCGGTTTCTTTTCTTGTAGTGCTCCGCGACATCGTAAAGAAAAGCGAAAAAAAAGAGCTCGAACTACGTGTGCGAAAGAAAAACGGCAATAGCGCGACAAGTCGGGTCACCTCGCTGATTCTTTTCCTGGCCAGCTTCTACACAACGCTGTACTCCTCTTAACACAAAATAAAGGAAATTTGAAAGCATCCTTCGAAGGTCGAGAACATTTCATTTCAAATAAATTGTCTTGCAACGAACATTGGAGTGACTGAGTTTCTACTCTGCCCAAGAAGACCCGTTACAGTACCAATAGTTACATTCCTAATAGTTACATTTGCTAGAAATTATTATTTAGAAATTATTATTAGTATTATGCACATTTCATTATCGGATATATCAATATTTTGAAGAAACATTGTCTTCAAAGTGTGGGGCAACTTGGCCTTGGAAAAGACTTTTAATTCTAGCAAGACAGCGACCCCAAAAACACGCCACTAAATGTGAAGTTGTGGTTATTGTACAATCATCAAGCATCAGCTTATTTCGCCAAACCTAACGCCATAGAGCGCTTGTACGATTTGTTGGAGCGTAAGATACGCCAAAATACAATGAGGTCCAAGGAAATGTTTAAAAATGTTATTACAGGAGAATTGGCCAAAATAAGCGAAGAAGAAACTGGTAAAATCAATGTCAATTTGACTCTCCGATCCTTAAACGTAAGGGATAACCCACTAGCTACTAACCTAGTTTATAAGACTTCAATATATATCATAAATGAAAAGTTATTTAATGTGTGCGATTACTTTTTCTGGTGGTTTTTTACTTAATTTTATTTACTTTATATGTAAGCACTATGTTATATAAAAATCAATTTTTTTAAATTAAAAAAGGAAAATCACCTAATGAATTCTTAACAAAAATAACACCATCTTAGGATAGGATGTACGAATACGTTCTCTTACAAGTTTATACATTAAATTCCGTCCGTTGATTTGGTTTGTACTTTCACCAGCCGTCAAATTAACTCCGTTTATAGGATACCAAAAGTAAATAAACACTTCTGGCTGAGATTTGGATCAAATATTTTTTCAATATCTTGTTTGTGCTTTCTCATTATTTGTCGCGTGCAATACGCACTGCGTACAGAATTTGTTGAAGCTTATTACGAAGACATTGATAACATAGTTGCGTTTCGTGCATGTGGAATGATGCTCAAATTTAGCTAAAATTAGACGACATCGTCCTGGACATTATGGAGGCGCAATGCAATGGCACACCGTGCATTTCGGGATAGAAAAGTTTAATAATCATCTAATTCCCAAAAATGCCTTTGCAGGCTTGCCACAAACCGAACAAACCACAGACTCTTAATGGCGTTCTTCACCAAGATTATACGTGTTATTGGTGAAACAAGTGCAGATGTATGGGGTAAAGTGACAAAACTTGCTGCTTCAGAATTGAACTTTACTGTTTACTTTTTATTACAAATTAAAAACATCTACACAACAACTATTTGTTCAATTATCAAAAACCGAACTAGATATCTTCTTTTCCTGTTGTTCAGCAAATTAATAACCGAAATATATTTGAAGAATAATATGGTTTTAAAAAAACTTGGAAAATTAACATGTTCAACCTTATGCATAGTTAGATGAAACATACTAAACGAAGCTTATACAATAAATGAAAGTCATAGATTCATAACATTTTTTGAAAAACAAATCGTTTTACTTGAAAACTTTAGATAGATAGGAAAAATAATTTCTACGTACGGTGAAGAATATACATATACAACGCTTCTAATATAAACTCATAAGAATTATAACAAATTAAATTTAATATGATTCTTAGTTAGTCGGAAATCAACGTTGAAAAGCAACGGTTTCCGATATCACATCAAGAAAATAGTGAGCACGTTGAAAGTAATAGTGGCCATTTGTTAGTTGGTGAGCTATCTAAATTTTCTTTAAAACCAGAACAATTTTTACATGCAACAACAAAGAATTTCACTGCATTCATCCATCATAAACAGAAGTAAAGATTCACAAAAGGAAATCGAAAAAAAACACATCATAATAGTTTTGTATTTTACTGTATTCATTATTAGTGGAACTCATCTGCATTGTTTAAACATAAAAGAAAAGCTAGTTCTAATGAAATTCTGAAAAAAATTGTTTTATCTTACTCCTCATGTGGTACAGGGGTATATTAACTTTGTGAGGACTTATGCAACAACCAGAAGGACGTGAGGTAGGCCCAATTTTATTATAACTATCTAAGCGTTTTTGCCCTTACTGCTGTTCGGTTTTCTTTCGTTCAACCTGAAGGATGCAAATTTTTAGATAATATGATGAAATTTTGTACACTGACGTGTTTTGCCCCAAAAACGAGCGCTATCGAAAGTGGTTCTGATCAGCCCACTTCTCCATATAACGCCTTATTTTGATAAATTGTTCTTTGATGGTGTAAGGTATTTAAAGGGGAGTCGTGGCCCAGCACAGCGTACTCATTTGTTGTAATTTTAACTGTTAGTTTACGCAAAAAAACAACTCAGCTATTAGTAACCAGGTTTGCAATAAATTAAAAATTTCCTGAGAGAACAAAAAAAGGCAGGGCATCTGATAAACAGATTATCGAATTTTAAAAGGAACGAATTCTTGTTTTCATAGCGAATTTTTTTCGCTACACTCCTCCATTCAACCATCTATACGCATTCACGCATATTTTTATCCGAAAGAAAAACAAAATCTTTTGCAAGCACCGTTTTAGACACGCCTTGTTTCAGCGGACGCTTGAAGTTTTTAGTATACACTGCGATGACTTTTTATTTAAAATTGTTTTGGCAAAAGTTTATTGTTGTTTTTATACGTTACATTTGTACTCGACACTCAGTGCAGTGAGTGCTCAACCGTTCGCCGCACATGCTATAAAATGACCGAGTTTACATTCTCTCAAGAAAAACAATACAGCAGCAATGCACTTTTATAAAGGGTTTTATTCTCTCGTTTCTCACAACTATTCCTTAAAACATGTGTTTTCATTCCCACATTTGACTTATATTCCCACCGACCACCATCAGTATCTAACATATCGTTTCTATTAAACTGTAAGGAAGCGTTTTGTTGGTTAATAACAACAAATCCATCCGCGTAATTTTCAGCCCGATTAAGTTACAATTCTTTGCCGACCATCTCCATAGCGTAAGTGTAACGTAAAAAGAAGTAAAAACATCTCTTTATAAACATGTTCCAAATCTTGAAGCAATATGCCTACTGAGTCTATTGAGTGAAACATCATAGGCCATATACGTAATGATCTTGGATTCCCTATATGTATTTTCGTTATGGATGTTATGTTCTCATGTTTCTTATATCCGAAATCATTCACCTAAACGCTCACTTGTTTATTAGCAGCTAAGTCAATACGATAGAGCTAGCTTGTTGAATTGTTCATGTTGTTTAGAGATTAACAGTTACATATTCTAATATATATTTATTTTCTTACCCACCCATAGCTTCCATATATATTTTAACTATAAGTAGCATAGAGATTATAATAAGTGAATAGGTATATATTCCAATACATTTATAAAATAGCATTCTTTTATTATAACACATACATCTTCTAGGGTGCGCCAGACTGCAACAAAGAGCAGAGTAACAACGTAACGGGACAGCGATGGCGATCGCGACCATAAAAGAGCGTGACCCAACACCCTTCGCCCTTTCATTTCAGTTACAGAAGCCAACGAGGTAACTGATATCTAACAAAATAATTCCTTGTTTTTCGATTTTAGTGATAGGGATAATTCTTTTTTTTTCGACTCACGGATATCCACGAACAACAGAAAATACTTGTCATACGGATAGAGGGTGGCAGGCTCAGCATAGTCGCTATTCCTGAAAAATGGATAAGACCACTCTCTCTGATGACTTTTCCAACGGTTAGAGACAACAAGAGTAACCCGGACATAAGCAGGAACGGACGAGTGCCCCATAAGATTGGCTGCTATAACATCTCTGGTTTATTTTGAAGAAAATTGGTTCGTACGGAACGTGGAAAGCAATATCTTATAAAGTAACTACGACTAACAATCGGGTCACGAGTCATCACGCTGGTTTTTTTCTCCGTTAGCACGAAATCATAATTATCTATCAAAAATCGTTTTTCTCCTACAACACCTAAATCCTAATTATCTATCGAAATTCTAGTAAGGATACAGAAAAAGTGAATAAAAGAAAATGCGAAGGTCAAAGACTTTTTATAAATTTCTTGTAAAGGGACTTCCCGAACACAAAATAAACCACGTACAATAGCATTACCAGTTTCTGGAAAAGATGAGTTTAGAGCGGGTGTAACACGACTTCTGCTCTAAACGCAGCCTATTATATCTAAGAAACTTTCAAAGCTAGAACAAAAGTTTATTTGACATGGCGATTATTTTCAAAAAGTGTTTAACTTTGATCGCACTATTATTCGCCGAAATTCTATGTTGCTTAAGAAACGTATAACAACCTTAGGAAAGAACTTTCTGGTTGAAGGACTCAAGTAATAAAATAGATTCCCCATCAAAGCGGAGGAACCATACTTCCAACTTCGTTTATTTTTTTCTCGGTCGGAAGCAATTATATCACCACATAATCATATTTGTGAAACATGTGAATTTTGCCACACGTCTGTCTGTTAGCGCAAAACTTTCTGGAAAGAGAGTTTTGCTTTCACACTTCTTGCCTACCCACCCCAAGTTAATGTAAATTATTATATTGCAAACAAATACAGTAGTTGATATTAAAGAAAACCATCCCAAGCAGCCGACCGTTTACACCGCCTAAATCCGGTCAAAATTAGAGTATAACCCGCACGCGTAGGCGGGCGCCTTTAAACTTTGCCTGGAGGCCCTCCACCGCATACAGCGTAATGCTCAGATGCACATTAGCGACAAAGGCGTGTGGTGGACTTTAGATGCTCTTGAACATCGGCTTAATGTTAAATTCCTCAACAACGTCTTTCTCACGTACTCGATCTGGAGTTACCCGTATACCATATAACACACTATCGCGGCACGTCATATTTTAATCGTACTACCCGCCTTTAGAACAACCTACCAAAACGGTCTTTCTTGCTGTACCTGATGTTTCCATTTTCAAGTCGAATTTTCACAAACACCACTCCCGTTTCTCATCCCAGTCTTCTGATCAGTCTTCCTGATCAGTACCGTGCCTGCGCGTATAGGAGATTTCCCCTGAATGGTAGTCATAGAAAAACAAATTATTAATTTTAATTTCGAAAGCATTTATTCTCTTATATTTTAAACGGCACAATTATTGACGTAACAATGACACGCGACTGCGTTCAATTTAATATGTGACGTCAAATATTTTAAATAAAAAATATTCACTTTACATAGCATATTGCTCACTAAAAACGACAAAAACTGGAAATTATTAAACGTCAAAACGTTCAGTATAAGCCCGCTAAAATATTTTTCTCAATTTTTTTACAGTAGTTTGACTGCAAGTGAGCAAGCAAGCATGGTGTTCGGGAATAAAATCAAATCTTGTAAAAACAAATTATTAAATGTCAGCCGATAAGTTGAAAACTTCTTTATTATTAGTGTTATATAGTATACCAATACATATTTTTTAGTCGCTAGTTAGTACTTACGTTGGTGCTTATCTGCTAATTGAACCAGAGGATTCGGAAGATCACGCCTTCTGTAGAAGCACATCACTTTTGCTTCCACGTTGCCAGATTGATTTTTATTTAGCTCCTCGATTCGCCTTATAAAATAAGGACTGTTTGGGGACGTCTCCACGTAAACATAATCTGAAAAACCAATTACTTAATTAAGAATTTCATTTGTTTTAGCAAATAATCGTTCAAAATGATTTGTTTTGCTTTTATTTCAGAAAAAAGTACTCTTAAGAAATAAATACTAGCCTGCATCAGAATAAGGTTTACCGAATTTTCGCCTATATTGTATTATTTCTTTGTACGTTTGAAGTACTACTTCCGATAGCGTAATTTTGGCTTATATATTTAAATTTCAAATTCTTCCATTTTTTTAAACGGCGCACAAATTCAGACTTTAAAAAGATTCAGATTATTTCATCTTGATATTTAATTTAATAATTAACTTTTTAAAGAAAGCAATACAATTTATTTAAATTTTTTACAACCATTTGACTCGAGTTAATCAGTAAAGGTACAAGTAACTCATTTCTTTAATTTCCAGTGCTAAAAATTAAGAACAGAACAGAATGCTTTGCCCTGTGGGTAGGTTTTTGTCCAACACTGGTGTTCATATATAACAAGTAGTAAAATTATATTCGCTGAATCCCTATAAGAAAGATATAGAAGAACGGCGACTTTCTGCTAATTTTGGGCGTCTCAAACCCTCGACCAGTACTGTTTTTGTACCATACTTCCACAGAAATATTTCTAAGCGATTTTAAATAGATTTATCTACAACATACTTCTTCGAGCTCAAAATTTGCAGCTGAATTGAGTCGCTCTATTTTCTCTTAACGTTGTTTAAGGAGATGTATAAAATTTATGGACGTTAATTTTAAGTGCGCTAACGAAACAGGTGACAATTAGATTTATTAACGCATTGGAAATTCTCCATGTCAGCATAGTTTTTTGAAATTTGGACACTTCAATTAAGCACTAAAAAATTCCAATTTGAATATTAACACTTTCAAAGTTGCTGCCATACATAAAGCCGATAAACTAAATTTTTCAAGACACAGACTTTCTACAGACTAAAACGCCTAGATTGATCTAGACTTCAATACGAATTCAGATATATACACTTTATAAGGTCTCCGAAGCTACTTTCTAGGTATTGCAAACGTATGAACGAAACAATATCGAGAAGGAAAAGAGAAGGAAATTACTTTGAAACACTATTTTACAAAACAGCAGGCAGCATATCTTCAAAAATCCAAAATTAATGAAAATTGGACGATTTCAATGCAAATATAAATATATAAAAATAAATATTTTTAAAACTCCCTGTCCATTTGTCTTTTTAAAGACAAGTAAATTAAAAGAATTTGACATTTCTAGATTAAAAATGACAACTACACTGGTAACACCTACACCAGAACCCCCAATGAAGGTAAAACCGATTACTAATCACAAAATGGTCATTGCGTGAAACTTGCAGGGTTCACCCTCTATCCGTTTCAATAAGAGAATGCTGATGTAACTGCTTGAAAGTGATGACTTTAACAACCAAGTGATGTGAAAAGTACTTTTTTTTCTGTAAGGCAAATGCAGAAGACAAAATTAAAAGTTTTTTGCGCGAACCAACATTCCAACAGACCAAAATGTAAGAAATTATGTGGATACCTTCTCAGCCATGCATTTCGTTTTGTTCACCCTCACGGTATTAACATGCAAAACTTCACTAGATTTTTTCTTAAAAACAAAATAAAAACGTTGGTTTTATAACATCAATATAAACATATCTGACGATGAAAATGCCGGAATAAAAAATATTGTGAGGATGGTACCATAATGGAGTTTGTAATGTATGCAATTGTTCCACACAATGTTCGGGTTCACTCGTATACAGTCAATGTGTTGGATGGAAGTAACTTTGTTAGCTAAATGAATGACCAGCCTTCAACCTGTACACATAACATTGATATGGTTTTGAAACACATCAATAATGTGATTAATAAAAACAAAATCATGTTAACCGAATTGAAACTCGAATGCAAAAGTGTGGATAAACTTCGCAAAACTCATAGAAGAGTTTGTAGATCGAACTGACCAAAATTAGAAGCGGCAATGTATGCGCAGAAAGCCTTAGGCATCAAAAAACTTAACAGAAATGTTAAGCAATAAACATCAATTAATGATACCATAAACATAACATAGTTGTAGAGCAAAATAATGAAGTTCTGGACAAGCTAAAAGTTGATATGATGCAAAGCAAGTCCGTTGGTGACAAGAGCCGAAGACTGAAGTCATTTCATTTCTCAGTTTGGTTTGGTAAAGTACCAGCAGTTAACCAACCCAGTTTACTTTTGATAACAAAGCTTAGAGTTAGTGTAAAAAATAAAAGAACTACGGACTATCTGACTAACAAATTTGATTCGAAATCATTACAAATATCCGATACCTTATATGTTAAACAATGGGGTCGTTTTGATCGATTGTAACGGCGAGCAGAATTGTGCGAAAACCAAAGCATCCTTTGGAAAGAGCACGGCTCTAAATTCAGACGTCATTAATCCGACGTTTAAGATAGCAAACATTAAGTTCAAATTGGAGTTGAGCTAATTGAAAAATTACATTATCGAAACACTATATTAAGTGACATTCAATTGGGAATTGTCAAAAGATATGAGATTGAAATTAGAAGTAGAAATTACTACGTTTTAATTCTAGAAACCGAAGGTGTATTTGTTTCAAATTCACTTGCAGAAGGAAGGCTGCTTGTGCGACTTATGACGAAGCTGAAGTAGTTAGTGCGTTACAGATGTAGCAAAAATTAGGAAGTTTGCTTGAAATCCTATGGTGATCATAAGAACGCAGATCGTAATTGTAAATCCATAATCAAATGTATAAATCGTATGAAAGCTACTGACGAAATTCAGACTTAGCTTAGACTTAAATCACTTTATTTGATGTTGGAAATATTTTATCCGACTTTTGTGAATGGACTTTGATTAATTAAAAAAGATATTGGATGTTGACAACTGGCCATAACTGTAACGTAAGCAGTACAATTTCGATTTGAAAATTATTAATAGCCAGATCGTCAATAGAAATAATTTTTTTTTGTGCTTACTTACCTATGCAGTTCAACTAAAACAAATTAACAGTCGAATTCAATTGACTCTTTGAAGCAAATCTTAGACTAATTAGTATTAAAAACTAGCATAAAGTATTAAAGGAGAAATAAAGAGAAAAAATATTGACCGTTATATAATGATACACGTATAAATAAATAAAAAATAATGAAAAAAAAAAAAAAACATGTACACAAGTAGCGCAGAGGCACACCCACGACCAGTACAGAACCAAATTGCAAATGAACCCCGAAGCCATCACAAACATGCAAAAGCTTGGCAGATTCTTGCTTCGTAGAATCCGGTATTGAAATTAAATGATATGCATCATTTAGGTTTCTGCAGACAACTCTAAACGAGTTAAACATCTCAATTATATTCACATGTACTCAGCTTAATGAACATGAAGTGAAGGACATTAAAGCTTATCTCACCAAGCAACGTGGACGAATCGATAGTACCATTAATTAACTTAATTAAGAAGAAGACACCAAGAATAAATCTATGTTTCTCAATTGGCGGTAAGGACAACAGAAGTAACCTATTTTCATAAGGAGGCAAAGAGACTAGCGGGTCCCAAGTTCCCAAGGACAAACAGGAAAAATTGCTTTCGAACTGATTCAATTGAATCTACATAACACTTGTAGGGGGGAGACTACACAACCCAGGCATACTCAAATATTGATCTAATTAAGCACATGTATAACTCTTTGAAGCCCTTCTTAATGAAACCAAACACGGACCTAGCTTTACTTAGAGAGAGCTCAATGTGCAAATTAAAGCTTAATCTTTGGTCGAATAAAATCCCTCAGTCGATAAACGAATCAACGTTTTCCAACTTATGCGAGTCAATGGAATACTCAGTAGTGAATGACTTCCTTCTTAAGAAAGAAAGCTTCTTGCATTTTTTAGAATTAATTTCATAAAATTTAACGAGCACCATGTAAACAAATTATTATGTCAATTTGAAGCTGATGCGATTGTGATTCGAAGGAGAAGAAAGAAAACAGTTTAACATCGCCAGCATAAACTAAGATCTGGCTGGATTTAATCACCGAGAGGGATCGTTAATGTATAAATTTAACACGAGGCGTTCTACATGGCCGCCTTGAGGGACGCCACACGTCACGAAGGGTTCATTCGAGGGGATGAAGTTAAACAGAACCGTGAGTGACCTGTTATGCCGATAAGAGTTTATCCATTTCACTAAGTAGAAGGAAAGTAGAAAGGGAAGCCAGAGACATAGAGTTTAAAGCTCAATAAGCTATGGTTAGGTTAATAGTTTTATTAAAATCAGTGCATACGAAGTGCGAGGACCACTAGAATAAGCCCTAAAAACATGTCAAGTAAACTTAAAGATCGGTCACCGTAGATCTTCCTTTCTTAGCTTAAATAATATAAAACACCATTTTCTCAAATGACGAAGTTAGGAATCAAAACCGAGGTAGATGTCGGATACGGATAGTTGACAGTTGAATCGGAATTAGCATTTGAAAAATTTCGTCGGAAGTTTTCAGCAAAGAGATTCCAGGTTTCAATATCGTGAGAAGACTCAGAGCCATTGAAAGAAACATGCGAGGAATATATAGGGATTTTTCTTTTGGGGTTGCTAAACTTGAAAAAACATCTGGGATTAGCAATCACTGAGGATTTTATCAACTGAATGTGTCTGCAATAATAATGGTGGTTGAGGTAATTAAATCTATGCCTTGATGCAGGATAGTCAAAATAGTTGCAAGCAGAACCACTTTTCAAAACTTTTTTGAAAGGTTTGTTTTTCCTATTTCTGTATTTAATTGTCTTGTTAAACCATGGCGGGCAACTGTTACGACGGCGAGGTTGTTTGATCGGAACGGATGCAGATACAGCTAGGTTTAATCCATTATAGAGCGATGACAGTAATGTTTCAGCAGGCAGCATATTTGTTATAAATGGAGATGTCCACGTTTGAGGGAATGTTTGAGGGAAGACACCATCCGCAGTCCATTAGGAACCTTTACAGGAGAAATTGTAACAAATCTGAAACTGATTACATAGGCTGTCTTATAATCTATGTCTTTGGTTGGTTTAAATCCGGAGTTAATTATAAATTTCATTATATCGATACATATAGTTTAGTAAGACATGATAAGACACGCAAGATGGGAGGTGACGGTGTCGCTACCTGAATCAAAAAAGTTTTAAATTATAAAACTGTGTTAAGGCGTATTATTGAACATCTTAGATAGACGACACCATCTGGTCCTGGTAGTCCTCAGTTTGATGGATGACTTTTCTATTTCTTAAAAAAAACACTCTCAGTGTAAACTGAAACGTTGACATACAAATGAAGAGTCTATGCGTAAATACAGGTTGCCTAATTCAATGCATTCTTCAGACTTAAATGGCTAAACACTTAATTGATCAACGCCTTACGCTGCAAACTCTAAACCAGCTAGCTTAGATCTTGTTCGTGTTTCTGAAATTCGTAATATTACCATCAATTGCTACAAACGTTAAGTTATCTAACTTTGAATTTGCCTATATAATAGTCAACATAATAACCACGCACCAATCTATTTTGCGAGCACCTCTGAACTGCTATGTTTAACATCCGTTATTATAGGAGCAATTACTTTGGAAAAACAAAATTAATAAAATCCGTTGTGAGATTTCATATACAAAGGAAGTCCCTGTTATAGTTCGTTAGACCATTTAAATAGATTCCTCTCTTCCATCTAATTTCTTCGAACATTTTACATTAAATATTTATAAAAAAACAAGTCGAACAGTGGCGAAGTTAATCAAGATACATAAAAAAAATATTTGCATCCAATCAGTACCTTTGGTAGATGTGCTCTGTGTCTGGACAATGGTTTGTAATATACAAAGATGTCTGTCAGCTTCGAGCTTTCACAACTTTGAGACACTGCCGCATAAAATCCAATGTCATCCGTCACGACATATAGGCCTTAAATTAAATCACGTGATTACTATTTTCATTATTTCCTAAATATTGAGAATTAACAAATTTTGCCGCATTTAAAACAGTGGCGTCTGTCCCTCCCGAAGATTTCTGTCACATTAATATCTTTCCATCCCTAAACAAAGTTTTTGGACGCTTCTTTGGCTGACCAAATTCGCTTAGACCTGAATTCCAAAAATCAAAGTTCTAAAAAGTCTGGTTATAAATCTACTCATAATTATAACACTGGGATATAGCAAATAATTTACTAATAATTGATTTTTCTAAGGTTTTCATGAATCACGCTAGAATAAGCTACAATTTTATCTTATTTTTCGCACCACAGCCAATGAATTAATTATGTTTGGGTGCTAATCTTCTGAGGTAAAGGAAACTATATCAGGCATGTCGCAAGGCTATAGTCGACATATACATATGCAGTCGACCTAACTCTTTTTTTAATCATTTTTAATGATTTGGTTACACGTTGCCACAACTTATCTTTACGTTGGTGATGCTCAAATATACTCCTCGCATCTTATAGAAGATTTATTTCACCGGACCAGAAAAGATGCATTCTCTACAATATTAAAAGTCAACCAAAACCACTGTTATAGCTCCTGTTAAATATAATCTGTATTCTCGTTGTTACATGCCCCGTTTTCAAAATTAAGTGTGGAATAACAGCAAAATCAAATGCTAAATGCATCTGCAGGTACATATTGTTTTAAGGTAGCTATGCACCATGGCATTATTTTTTCAAACTCAGACTAAATTAAGATTAATTAATGCATTACATTTATATGTATGGTGGCTGTATGTGGTGAACTAAACTAAGCCTTAAGGAGTAGACTACAATCAGTAATGAATAAATGTGCGAGATTTGTGTATAACAAACAGGGATATGCCTGGATATATTTTTTTTTGATAATTTCTCACGCAACGTTACTTGCTTACTTAAATGCCATAAACTTAATATTTCTTCATAAGATTATTTATATTGACTCTTTTTTCTACGATAAACTTGACCATGAAAGTTTTGCGATAGAATTTAAGGCTTCCTATAATATTTCTCAACTAATTATTATTCCAAATTGCAAAATTGTTAAATGTTTTGCTTATGTGACGTCTCCACATATTGTTGTGGAACACCCAATTTTTTAATTTGATTAGAATTGATAATTAGAACGGTAAATCCAAAAAGATGGATACAGTCAAATTGAGCAAAGCACTCGCAATTTACAAATCTCTTCCTATTCCCTCTCCACCACTTGCAGCCTTGCCGGCGATGTTACCAAAAAATACGCACTTTTCAGAACAAACTGCTAAGACGATGCACATGTCTTCGCTCTCGCCACCGATTCCCATTCATATCTAATAAACTGTTGAACTCTAAGAAGGTTTTACTTCTAACCAAAGAAATTCTGAAAGTAGAAATTATTAGGCCGCCTTTTTCTTTAGTTCATAGACTCCAGGGCGTATGAAGTCTCCATCTGTATATGCATTTTTTCCAATTGCCACATTGACCACTTCCAGCAATGAAACAAACTTTACGGAAAAAGGATTAGATCTGATCCTTTGCAAGGTTAATTTGCTTTTTCTCTGCAGCAATAATAATTATGTGGACAATATGTCAAATCATCTTACATCTTTTCCGAATAAATGATCAAATATTTCATATGTTGCTCTATAATGTTTACATCGCCTATTGGAAGACTCTCTCATTGCTGGCCTAAGCTGATTAGAAGCTTTGATGTTGCATGTAGCCAAAAATAACCTAAATTTATAGCTTGAAAACTTCAAAGTTTACGCAACAAGAGCATTTGGCTTCTATCAGATGGTTTTCAATAGGAGAAACTCAGTTTGTAAGAAAATGTTGAAACGAGTCATATTTTTTATGCCATTCACATGTTAATACAATTTTCAGTCCTCCTTAATAAAACTAACTACTCGGTTTGGTTTTAGTTATATATTTTTTGAATTTAAACCTTATGCAGACACACCCACCGAAAACCTTTAGAAAAATGTTTGAAAAAAATTAGCCATTTCCTTATTGATTAGCGAATTACATTAAAAAGCAATTCTAATTAGTTTAGTCTTTATATTCTTGAATTATCTTCTTTTTCCCAAACTATGAAATAGTTCAATCTGAAGTTCAATCTTTTTACAACCTTGTCAAAATCGAAAATTATAATTTTAAACCATGCTGCAATATTTCAGTATACTGTCGAAAAAATGATACAATTATTATATCCCGCCTGCAACGCGGAGATATGCACGACAAAATGTTTACATTATATATTCTCGATCGCTGTTTGTGTAATAATAGTAGAATATAACGTTGAAAGCTTAAATAATTTCACAAATTAATATTGCAAATGAGCAATACCCGAGTTAAAAGAGTAAAATCTCGATTTACGCTCCCCGAAAAACTTCGACTCGAAATCTGTCTGGCACATTTGAATATTTATCAACGAAATAGCGTTTGGTTGCAGATAGGAAGGATTCGTCCCATGTCGAATGTACACAACTTTCTCTTGGTTTTTATATTGATTTGGACGATAAAAATTTTAATTTTCTATAAAATAGAAAAGAAAACTGAATCAGGATATTTCCTACAATAACAATATATATACACAATTCAGTCCGCTAGCGTCAATAAAAAGATCAGCAGCAGCGACGCTGATATGAAATGTTTCGACGTCACAGAAATAAAGTATGGAAAATGGCAATCAGCCGACTGTGAATTACAACACAAAAGACAGAAGGGAAAAAAAGAAAAATTTTTCTCACCTCCGACACGATACGTATTAGTAGTCATTTTCACTTAAGATTTACGCACACTTTTATATGTAGTTTATATTAACCTAATCGAACTACGTCCTTCACAAGGTTGTTTAAATTATACCCAATTTTTATTTTTAATAATTTTAATTTGTTGTGATTGCATTTATACAAGACGCGTTTGTTATATCGCCATCTTAAAAATTTAAAGGTGTTGCCATTGATCGAAACTTTTACAGAATTGCACTCACCTTGCACATATTAAAGCACGGAAGTTCTGTAAAACTCTTCAATTGCGTACTTTCTCGAAGTTTTCATAAAATATTGTAATTTTAACTTTAGTTCACCTTATTTAACCTCTTTCTTGTTTAAACCTAACTGCTACCCAAAAATAAAAAAATTATTATTCTTTTTAATAAAACTTTAAGCAAAAATTTTCCGAATTCTAGTCACTAGAATAATAATCAGCTTATGCGCGCTTATGTAGCTGACACAATGAGGCGTCATTCACGTTTCGGGTGAAAAACTTCCAAGTGGTAGCACTATGGGGAACTATGCTACCGTATTGTTTCACAGGAAAATGTAAGCAAAAACATATGGTTTTAGAACACACGGTTGAAAGCTCGTCTGTCTGGTGAAAAATTTGAATTAAAATTGTAAAAACCCAGCTTGGTAAAGACGTAGCACTTACCGACTCTTTACACACCCTCTACACACCCGACCGCCGTATGTCTACCACTTTGCACACTTCTTTCTAACCACCATCGAGTTTTGCGAATAGGAGACAGATGGTCAGGTAGGTAGCAAGATTTAGAATAATAGCTTATAATCCTAACATTCAGTTTTATCAATTTCAAATTGTAATTTTTTCAGGGGATTCGCTGTTTGAGGCTAATGTCACAATCTTAGTTCGCTATCCATGGAAAGCAAATTGTTAGATATCTCTCGACTAAATAAATACGGATCTCAAGCAAACTGCATTTACAAACGCAATCCAGAATTGCGAAAATATTGCTATTGTAAAAAGCAAAGCGAAACACCATGGACAAAAAGAGCAGGACCAAACTGCTGTCTCGATTTTGTACACATTTTGTTATCCATTAGGCAACAAAAACAAAAATTCGCTAAGGTTGTCCTGAATGTAACCTTCAGTATGTCGGCTTTGAATGTTGAATAGAAAATTTTCGTATTGTTTGTAAAGAATTGTGTTAAATTATTGATAATTAAAATCTGTTCAGTTTAGAATGAAAACAAACTTTACAAATGTTTGTGAAAAGAATCATAACATGTAAGTTAAGTTAAATATATGTTTTATCTTGAGGTATTAGAAATTCTTTACCTGTCTCATATTTAATTTCAAAATTTCTGGACTTTCGGATTTTATTGCTTTTGGGGAAACTTTTAATCAATGCCAATAGTTTGCGATATTTATTTATTTGTTCATTTATATATGAAACTCAGCTAAATAGCCTAAGCATAGGAGAAGAATAAGCTTCATGTATAAATTAATAAGAGAGAATAAAAGAAAAGAATAAAAAAGCGTGTACACATCTAGCATAGAGGCACACCCACAATCATTACATATCCGAATTACGGGTGAGCTCCTAACTCATTGCAAACATACAGTAACCATACAGTAACCAAAATCAATTAATTTTCGAATCATAGTGAGATATTAAAGTTAAGAGTTAGTTTAGATGGGACACAGGCAAGTCGCGCGTATTTAGCAAAATTGTTTTTATAGAATTTTTAGAATCCGGTATTGAAATTAAATGATAGACGTCATTTAGGTTTCTGCAGACAACTCTAAACGGGTTAAACAGCTCATAATTATATTTACATTGACTCAACTTAATGAATATGAAGTGAAGTTAAGGACATTAAAGCTTATCTCACGAAGCAATGGCGGTAAGGATAAAAGAAGCAACCTTTTTTCATAAGAAGGCAAAGAGACTAGCGGGTCCCATATTCCCAAGGACAAACAGCAAGAATTGCTTTTGAGCATATTCTATTGATTCTATATTACATCTATAGGATGTAGACAATACAAGAAAGCCTTGGTATTGCTTCGTTAGCGAAGTTGTCTAATCGGAAGAGATGCAGAAATATCAATACATCATATATATACTATTATAGAATGATGGAAGTAGGGTTTCAATATTCCTAACAAAAAAATCGAAAACATTGGTGTGAAAGATCATATAAAATGTTGGTTACATTAAAATCAAATTGTTTATTTGAGGAAGTTGGATTTGTTAGTCCGATCCATAACGTCTGTAATGAAAGGAATTACAAAATGCTGGATGATGCGGATCCTTAGGTAAACTAAAAGATGGACAATGATTACTAAATATTTCTGGCAAATTTGCAAAGCAGAAACCTAGCAGTCTGCCAGTAAATATAGTGAAGTAGATTAGGGTGAAACAATTCATTGAAAAACACAATAGTTCTACAAGATGGTAAGGTGTGGGTCATACAGCCAGAATTCCCACTTTAACCCCAAATTGATTTGCGGCAAATTGAACGGAAAAAGTTCGCACTACTGGCATAAGGGGGCTAACATAATGAGCCGTTATGCCTACTCTCGTGCTGCGATACCAATTTTCTCGACTGCTTACAAAACCATATGGCAATTGACAAATCATACATAACAAAACGAAAAAAAATGACGATCGTTTCTTTTAAATTTTAAGGTAATTAATATAATTTATGTTTGTCCTACACTAATCTATATTTTTTATATATTGTGTAATTTACAAATTTGGTTTATGCAGCGCACACTTTGTAAGAAATGAAAAACAAACAATAAAGGCTATTTATTTTAAATTTAAAATATTGTTACAAAATTCGCTTTTCTAAGATAAAGTCCGCATCACTGGTTCGTGGATATTTTGTTCAAGAGAAATACACTTCAAACTTCGTTTATTTACTTATTATATTCTCTAAACGTAGGATTATTCACAATTTATTTTTGGCAATTCTTTCACGGCTCAACTTAAATATTCCTTTTCTACTGAACCTTCCTTCCACAAATATTCTATTTATATACATTTTTACCATCATATTACTTGTACCTAATTTTATAGCTTGATTTTTAGTTCGTTAACCTGCTTTTCTGGACCTCTCTTTCCTCGGCTGGCAGCTGCATGACGCGCTGCGAATGTGCATTTGGTTTTTTCTCTTTTTAGGAATTTTATTACTTAGCTGGAATAACAGAATTTGGGAATTCCGTAACAATGTATTCATCAAATTGTTTTATCAAGTAATGATAAATGATAATTTCCAAATTATGGATCAATTAATACAGAAAAGGCTCTCAATGGTGTCATAAAATTTAAGGAGAAGATTATAAAGATTAACCCAATTGTTTTTTTGTTATAAATGTGCCATTTACGATGATTGCTTCATTTTTCGTTTTAAAAGGATATGCTTTCGTTTACATTTTCATTCAAAAATATCGTAGCGTGGCCTTGTGTTTAATACTTGGGAGTTTTTAATTCCAAACAGATATGATGGCTCATCGTGTCAGCCGCCTATTATTTGTTAATTCCAATAAAGCTGTGTAAAATACGGCAAGGCTAAAGTCTTTACCCGAAAATAGGAATAACACCTCAAAGTGTCAGCCTTCTTTGAATAATTTTTTTATCCTCCCCGTGTGGCATCTTCTTCATGATTAACAGATATTTATTCGTTTTGAGCATTAGTAAATTTTTCTTTTCGGAATTGTTCCGTGCAAAGGGTGCTTGCGGCAGATTGTTTTATTCTAAAAATGGAAGACTTTTTACAAAATTTGCCTAAAATAGAGTTACATGCTCATTTACATGGTTCATTATGCATAAGATCTATACACGAGCTTGGGCTTCAGCTGTACGGTGACAAAACGCCAAAATATGTGGAGCTAAGTAAAAAGTTGACTGAATTCGACCAGACTGATAATTTGAAGAAATGTTTTCATAGATTTACTTTCATGCATGAACTAACCTCCAGCAGCAAGGGCTTAGAATTAGCCACTGAATTAGTTATAAGAGATTTTGCACGTGATAAAGTCATATATTTAGAATTAAGGTCAACGCCGAGGTGTTTTGCTGATATGTCGCGCCGAGATTACTTAAAAGTACTTGTAGAAACTATAGAAAGCGCACAAAAAGCGCATAATATCGTAGTTAAGTTATTAATATCTATCGATCGCAGTCAGCCAACAGAAGTAGCCGGAGAAATTGTCACATTGGCCGAAGAAATAAAAAAAAAATACCCGAACATTGTCAAAGGTTTGGATTTAAGTGGAGATCCTTTTCAAGGAACTTTTAAATCTTTGCACCCGTTGCTAAAAAAATCTAAAGATGCAAACTTTAGTTTGGCTTTACACTGCGCTGAAGTAGATACTGTAAAGGAAGCACAAGAAATGTTGGACTTTGGCTTTCAAAGATGTGGTCATGGGACATTCCTAAATGAAGAGCAACTCCTTCAGTGTGTTAAACAAAATATTACCATAGAATGCTGTTTAACAAGTAATATTAAGTGCGCCACCGTGAAATCTTACGATTCCCATCATTTTCCCAACATTTTTCGCAATACCCAGTGTAGAGTCGTTTTATGTAGTGATGATTGTGGAATATTTGACACTACATTAACACAAGAATTTCTAAAAGCTCATAAATTCTATCAGCTATCGAAAAACGACATACAACGCTTATCTGTGAATGCCATAGAAGCTTCATTTGCTGATGATCAAGAGAAGGCGTTAATTAAACAAAAAGTCATGGAGTATTTTCGAGAGAGTTCAGACAATTCTTAAAAACATGTCTGCAGTCCTCGTATTTGTCTTCAAGAAAAACAGTGGACCTGATAATCGGGGTAGAAGATACTAAAATGATCCACGTAAAGTTACTTAGATATTTATTGGCTGGAAAAATTTTCGTTTTGAGCAGAATTCCATCATCGATACCCCTAGTAAAATAATGGAAACTTGCTGGTAGTTGTCGCCTAAAGCGCTGTCTGAATTACCTGACCTCTGGCGGCGACAAAATTGCTGGCGCTGGCAACAAATTATTTTCATTTATTAATAATTCACTTATTTATTGACGCTTATGTAAACTCGAATCTGTTAAGGCTTATTGAAATTGATTACAATGTCTACCGTAGGTGCAATAACAAAACTTTATGATTATTTAAAGGAAGAGGTAGGCTTTCGTTTGGCTGATCGAGTATTGGACATTAAGCGAGAGTTCGAAAATGCCGCTGACTTGGGTTGCGTCGTAGTCGTCGTTTTTTATCGCGTGATGTGTTGGAAGAAGTCGCATCCCATAACGATGAAATTTGCATAACAAAAGCAATCAAAGAAATAACTTTCAGCTTAAGTTGGGGAGTTTAAGTGCATCCTTCATATTCTCCAAACTTGCCTCCTTCCCATTATCACTTATTTAGACCGTTGCAGTCATATTTAGCAGGTGAGCTGGTTACAGAATTTCACCTACAAACTGTCAAGTTTTTACCGCGAGGGCATCTACAAGCTTCGAAATAAATATTGTAGATGGTGGTGCATTATCGGCTATTGAGATCTGTGACAAACAAGTTTTAAATAAAGTTGAATTTTATCCAAAAACGGAATGAAGTTATTTGTACAGCCGTTATAGTGGATATACGAAGTTTGAAATTCTATGCTTCAGTGTTTATGGACAAATCTAGCTAATGTGAGAGCTTTCTGAAAACGATCTTCTACGGACTGCAGATTACCCTCCAAATGTAGTTTAATTTCATCCAAATTTTCAACTTCCTTATTACCGTCTTATATATGTTGCGGTAAAAGATGTGAAAAATCTCTCTGTTTATTTAGTAATTCTTGATAGGTACCATTTTCATTAATTTCACCCAATTTCATGGCGTAAATATTATCGGTTGCTATATACTACTTCCTTTAGGTTGTGAACCGACTGATAAAGTTCCTTCAGGATCAACTACATCGCCATCTAAAGCTAGAACGGCAATGAATGTATTCTTTTTAATGGATATAAGGGTAACACGCTGTTGTAATTGGCCTTTTGTAAAATTGTCTTACTTGTTACATCGCGCCAAGAGGAATTGCCCGTAGTAGAAGAACCCGCCGAATCCTCTGCTTCTCAAACAGCAACGCCAAGTGAGGCTATTTCTATCAATCTTTTGCCAAGTCATTTTTCAAGACATTCAGTCTGGCAACTCCGTCGCGCGGTATAGTCGTCTATATTTTGTTTCGGCAATTCATATTTTCATTTTTTGTTGGATTTCGTGGCTATTTTGCTTTATAGTGTGTGAATTTATGATATACTCTGAGAAGAAAGTGAGCGAATTCAAAGTAAAAGAAATATTTTTTCTTTACGCTTTGATTTATTCGATTTTTGCAAAAAAAATTTTGAGCTCTGATATAAATTTCTTTTTTTTTTTGGTTTTCTTTCTTTTTCTCTGGTTATTTTTTCGGTGTTCGTAGTTTGGTTTGCTATTGATCTCTTGTTACAGTGTCAACGTAACAGAGAAGTTTTGCACGAATTGGTTGATAAATTTTTATGTTGAGGATTTTTGTTTTGCAATTTGTCTGTCTGTTCCTTATAACACTTCTGTCTTTTAGACTGATATGGAGTGTTTATATACACCTTGTCGCGCAAAAACAGGCCCGGATTTGTATAGATTCCTTTCTTGTTGGCTCTGCCAACGCTTTGGTCATACAAAGTGTGCCGGTATTCTAGGCCGTGCTGCTGATGCAGTCGCTGACCCGTCTAAAGGCTTAAGATGGTCATGTCCTGAGTGTAGGCAGCGGGACATTGATTTTTACAAACTTTTCACGGAGACGCGAAATGGTTTCTCGGAATTGAGTAGAAATCTCGGCTCCTTGTGGGAGCAGTTTGAGCTAATTAAGTGTAGATTTCATGAGTGTCGTTCTATTGAGCACTCATCCTTTACCCAAGCCAGAAAAATAACAACTAGCGTAGCGTGTGGGACGTCACCTCTGAGTTCCTCCAAATTTGATTCGTTGGTACAAGTTACCCCTCCCTCTAACTCTAAAATGAACATTAATGTTGCCGATATTGCTGAGTCGGTTGGTAACAAAATAGTTACAAACAAGCCGGCAAGTCCTTCGGTTTTAAGCTACGCTGAAGTGGCAAGGGTATCTCCGCCCAGACCCGCCACTTACTCTAATCAAGTGCCATCGTCTAAAAATAATGAAGAGAAAAACAAATCATCCTCTCGCCCTGGCTGTTCGCATGTGAACGCTGGTCACCATACTGGGTAAGTCGCACAAGCTGCTGGTGCAAGGGCGATAACGCCATCTATATTCTCCCCAACTCGAAACTCTCCTACCGTGAACCCTCCTCTTCCAAATAATGACATTTGCTTGACGGGAGTTCCTCCCAGAAATATTTGTGTCAAGACTGGCACCTGAAACATCGGTGGATAACATAAAAGGTTATCTGGCGACGAAAGTCCCATCAGTGAACTTAAAGCGTGTTAGCATTTTCAAAATGGCTCCTTCTCAAGCTAGGGCAATCTCCTCTTTTAAAATATTAGTTCCGACTGAAAACAGTGATATGTTGTTAAACAAATCACTGTGGTCAGTAGGATCCTTAATTAAAGAATTTATCCTTCGAGGTCGTCCCCGTAATACCAAAACAATAGTCTTGTCGCCTTCAAAAAACTAAATGTTTCTTCAGACCCATTATCTCTCATTTATCAAAGTGTTAGGGGCCATAACTCAAAAATTCGTTCTACTTTTCTAAATTCGGTGAGCGCGGAGTTTTTCTGTTTGGCCTTCACTGAAACTTGGCTAAAACCCAATCTTCATTCGTCGGAACTTTTTCACAATTCTTTCCAAGTCTTCAGAAAGGATCGAGTGAATCGCGTTGGTGGTGGTGTATTCATTGCCATATCTGCGTCAGTCCCGTCCAATTTAATTGAATTTCCCACTTCTCCTGACGTTGAATTTATCGCTATTCGTGCGAATATGCCTGATAAACATCTATTTATAACCTGCTCCTATATTCCCCCAAATTCTGATATCACCATTTACAGGAAACACGCTGCCCTCATTTGTGAAGTGGCCAAGCGGTCTAGACCCACCGATTTGGTCGTTGCATTGGGTGACTTCAATTTGCCTCAAGTCACTTGGTGTAACACTGATAATTCTGGCTGTTTGGTTCCTACTTCAACGTCTGATAGAGCTGTTGTGTTCTTTAGTGAGTTGTTTGATCATAATTTGGGTCAATATAATCGTACCCCTAATTGTAATGGTAGACTGCTTGATCTCTGTGTGATTTATCAGCAAACTACCCATATCCTATAACTAACTCGGTTTCAATACCTAGCTTGGTTATTTCGGAAGATGATGTTTTTAAAGGGTTGAGTTCTCTAAAATACAGTTGTTCGCCTGGACCTGATGGAATTCCATCATGTGTATTTAAATCTTGCGCTGTCGAGTTATGTGGTGTGATCTCAAAGATTTTTAACATGTCCTTATATTTAGGTGCTTCCCCTTCATGTTGGAAGAGTAGTTTCCTTATTCCTATGCACAAGAGTGGAAGTAGACAATTTGTTGAGAACTACAGAGGCATAGCCAAGTTGAGTGTCTTGCCCAAATTGTTCGTGCGTAATGTGACTCAGCATTTGGCCTTTGCCATTAATTGGTATATATATCCGCACCAGGTTTTTTTCAAGGTTTTTTCTAGTGGCCCTCGCACAGATGTGATATACACTGATTTAAGCAAAGCATTTAATATGGGTAACCATAACTTACTTATCTTTAAACTCCAAGCCTCTGGCTTCCCTTTTTATTTACTGAAATGGATAAGCTCTTATCTGCACAACAGATCCTTCAAGGTTCTGCTTAACTTCATCACCTCAGATGAATTCCCCGTTATGTCTGGCGTACCTCAAAGAAGTCACTTAGGTCCCATTTTATTTAGTTTATAAATTAACGATCTCCCATCGGTGGTTAATTCCAGCCAGATTTTAATGTATACTGATGATGTGAAACTGTTTTCTTCCTTCTCTGTTGAATCGCAATCACATCAGCCTCAAGGTGATTTGGATAATTTTGTTGCATGGTGCTCTTTGAATCTTCTGAAACTAAATCTGAGTAAATGTAAGAAGCTTTCATTCTCAAGAAGAAAGTCATTCATTACTTAGTATTTCGTAGATTCGCATAAGTTGGAGGACGTCGATTCGATTACAGATTTAGGCGTTCTATTTGACCATAGGTTACGTTTTAACTTGCATTTTGAGCTGTCGATTAGCAAAGCTAGGGCCGCCTTATTTTGTAAAAAGGTGGTCCAAAGATCTTGATGATCCTTACATTATGAAAAGGCTGTACATGTGTTTGGTCAGACCCAAACTCGAGTATGCCTCAGTTGTGTGGTCTCCTTCATATAGGTGCTACGTAGATTCAATTGAATCTGTTCAAAAGCAATTCTTGCTGTGTGCCCTTACAAATTTGGGTTGGGATCCGATTGCCTCTCTTCCTCCGTATGAAAATAGGTTGCTTCTGCTGTCCCTACCGTTTCTTGAGAAACGTAGATTTGTTCTTGGCGTTTCCTTTCTAATTAAAGTAATACATGGTGCTATTGACTCGCCTTCATTACTTGGTGAAATAAGCTTTAATGTCCCTAACCGCTTCTCTAGGCACTTTAACCAAAAGGTTAAGCTTAATCAGTGTAAATTTAATTATGAGCTGTTCAATCCGCTCAGAGTCGTTTGCAAGAACCTAAATGACGTCTACCACTTATTCTCGTTATCGGACTCTTTAAAGTCCATTAAAGCAACATTGCTTAATACGCGCGATTTACCTACGTCGTATTTAACCTAGCTTTTACCCTTAAAAAGTCGTTAGGTTTCGAAAGTGAATTAGTGTCAATTTATTATCGGTTGCGAGGCTTATGCGTGTTTGCGATGGCTTAGGGGTTCATTTGCAATTTGGTCCTGTACCGGTTGTAAGTGTGCTCCTATGCTGATAGTGTACATGCTTTTTTTTCTTTTGCTTTTTTTTTTCTTCTTATTTGTTTTATTATGCTTATACTCAATTTTATTGTTAATTAATATAAGTTTTGCATTAAGAGCCAATTGAGCTCGACTGTTATTTGTTTAGTTGAGTTTCTAGTATAAGTGGAATAAATAAAATAAATAAATAAATAAAAGG